AGATACTTTAATGTAATTTAAATAGATTATTAGTTGTCAGGATCTAATATAAATTTTGTTTACGATTTAGTTACTTTAAGTACTCAGACTGAAGGAACTAATTTAACTCCACCAGTGAGCAGCCTTAAGCATCAAGACCAAACCACTAAAAAGCTCCTACTCCCCTTTGCACTCTCCCAGTAATCTTCAATTATTACAATTTAATTGTAAATTTCATGGCACTAAATCAAGACCCCCTCCCCCCTTTTCAAACAAAACAGCTTAGACAGGCTCATGAGGAAAAACCCATTTACACCTGTTCAGGTACTAGGTTCTTCCTTTTAGGCAGCTCGTTCTTCCAGAGTCTGGCTAGGTGGGAAACGTTTTTTCTCACTTTAAGTCCCATAAAATAACTCCCGAACAAACACCTGTTGTGCACAAGGCAGGGCATATATTAAACACTGGCATCAGGGGACTGCAAAAAGGAAAACAAGCCTTGCAAGACATCCGCAAGCCAATCTGCTCAATAGATTTCACGACTAGGTAAAACAACAGTGCGAGGAAAAGGACAGAGCTTCCGGCACAACCTTCTCATGAATGGGAGCTGACTTCCAAACAACGCTTGAAAAATGCCTTAGCACAAACTGACTGTAATTAATAAGAATAATTTATTAGAGAAACAAAGAACGCTGTCTAATTGTCTTTCCCGACTGCCATGCACTTTCCCCTACTGTACTTCCTCTTTACAGAATAAATACCAGCCGTGCAGCCCTAACTGCAAGAACATTATCTATGGGATGCAAAACCAAAGTACTCCTTGAAATCAAACATTTCGTGCATTTATTTTTAGGTTGGCAACACAAGCCAAATCTGCTTAATTTCCACTAAGCGCATGGTCACATGCACATGGAAATAAACTATAAACGTCCCGGAAAAAAAAAAAAAAGAAAAAGCCCGTCATGGAGAAGATACCCCAAATTTGGCCAGGTTCACCCGTTTCAGGAACTCGCCTCATCTTATGGCCTGCTGCTAGTTTCAGCTTTTGGCACTTTTAACCTTAATTCATCCAAGTATCGCAGAAGAGAAATATGTTTAAAAATCAGTTTAAGATGGCTCCTTGGAAAGCACATGTATGGCAAACTGGCCTGCGGACTAGAGTAACAAATCACAAGAAAGATCATTCAGAAAACACACGGGCCCAAGTGGAAACTTACTTGGCTCACTGGCTTCTCGCACAAACTCAGTGTTTGATCACCTGGTGGGTGACTAACTACCATCAACTTAAAAAAAAAAAAAAAATCCCCTGCAAAGAGTAAAAGTGTTATGTTGGCTCACATATAAAGTTCACCTGTCTATTCAGCGGATGCCTTTCTTGAGGTTTTTTTCTTCAGAAAACAAACCCCTACCTGCTTGAGAGCTTAATACACTCTAGGTTTAAAAAATATACTTTAAAAAAAAAAGGCCAATATTGCTGGCTTAGCAAAAATGATATTTACTATGACTGAAATCTGTAAAGGTGTGTGACATCTAACAGTATAAGAAGGAAAGGAAAAAACCCCTTAGCAGAAATTGAATTTTTTTTTTATGAACAAAAATACCACCTGTGTAAATCTAGCCATGTTCTGGAAACCCTTTCTCGGTTATAGAGGAACAGCTCATACTCAGTGCCTTGAAGTTGCAATTAAATTGTAGTAATTTAAGATTACCAGGAGAGCAAAGGGCAGTGGGCGATCTTTGGAGGGCTTCCCTCCCCACTTAATGCTCTTCAGTCAGGGGTTAAATGAGTTTCTTTAATGTAAGTACCTTAAAGTAACTGAATCATAAACAAAATTTATTTTTTTTCTGACAGCCTGCAATCTATTTAGGTTTTATTAACGTGTGCCTAAAATTATTTTTAAAAGACAAAACTCTTGCTATACCCTATAAATTGTCTTGGATTCACACTGAAATGTGATCGGTACTGTAACACCTAACCTTGTCCAAATACATACTTTTTTGCGATGCGGAATCTTACAAGCTAATGTTTCAAAATTGAGTTTGAGTCTTAAGTTAAACATGAAAACCAAATAAATATGCACAATAAGATTGGCTGCAAAGAGGAGGCTGGGTTCAAAAGAAGTTGTCACATCTGCTATATTCTCCCTTCTCTTTCTTAATTTTGGCATTGGATGTGCTGTGATATAAATATATTTGGGAAATATCACAATTCTTCTGTTAACTTAAACAACTGCTGAAAACAGACATACCCTTCAACAGAGCCTAAGATGCAAATTTACAAGGCCAGGAGTATAGTCTCAAAGGAAGCAAAGAAACTTAGTAACAGAAAACCATGCCTAGGCTCAGTATTAACTCAGTTAACTTTTGCTGTTGTTAGTACACATGACTTAACTAGAAAATATTTATAGCTTTTTAAAAACATTACATATTGCAGAAAATTGCCTAATAGCACGCATGTGTATGTTTAACTCACATTGCTTAATTATACAATAGATATATCCAATAAAAGCTACAGACTTTGAAACATTGTGTACCATGGTTATGAAACTCTGGCTTATAAAAAAATATAAAGTGCTTACTATGTGACCCACACTTGTTAATTAAAAATATAATCCTTAAATGACAAGTATTTTTATTCTTCTATATGTGTTTACTTGTCCTATTTCCTACTTTGTTCTACTTAATTAAAAATGACATTTAATTTGGGGATAGTTTATAGCAGAAAAAAAAAGTGTTACACAGTTTATACTCCAGGATTTAAATATAAACACAAAATCTTAGAGACATCTCTAGCAATATAAACCCCTTAATTTGAGACAGTTAATTTGAATAGTTGATATTTCTTTCATTACACTTTGATAAACCTGTGAAAACAAAATGCTAAAGTAATTACTGTTACTACTCCCTTTAAAAATGTAAAGCAGTTAAATTTTCCTAGACAACAAGCAAGGACAAGTACAGAGAACTTGAATAAAAGTAGCAACGTGGTCATGTTGAATGTCAATCTAAAAAAGGAGGTTATGTCTAATCTGGAGTCTGCTCTCTCGCCTTTTTAAATTCCAAGAGTGGGCTGACACAAAACTTCATCACCAGGGATTTTTTTTTTTTTTTTTTTTTTTTAGCTTCACATCAGATTTAAACCCTCACATACAAAACCTTGGCTTTCCTGACAAGGCAGATCTTCTAAACTCGATGTGAGAAAATGTTATCTAACTCTAGTGTAGGAGTCTAATGTTGGTAAAAAGAATTGCACTGCACAGTACTGGGTAGCAAGACAGCCTCCGGACGACTTAATATTCTTTTAATACCTTTTCGGGTGCATTCTCCTCATAAGGAACGATGCATTTAAAAAATAAATAACTTCTTTGGCAACTCAGCTTCCATAAGAAACTTAAATGTTGCCCAGAGAGGGGCTGAGTATTTCTTTCCAAGTGAGCCTTCGCTTGCACAACAAAGATCAGCATTTGCAATGGTCCATTTCTGCATAAGTGAACATATAGCCTTGCTGCTTGATGGAATAGTCCAGGGTTCTCCGTGTAGCAGCTCCTGACAACAACCCAGCAGCAGTTCTGTTTGATCTCTCCTGCTTCCTTAATTTGGGTTGTCAAGGTTCAGCAGTTGGAGGCTGTTTACTTTACTTTTTCAAAAAAAAAAAAAAAGTGATTTTTTTTTTTCTGTCTCATACAATGACTAATCCAAAGTCTAAGGGGGGTGGGGGATGTAGCCAGTGGCAAGATGTTAAACCTTTTTTTTCCCTTTGCAAGTGAGATTTTAGCTGACACCTTTTGAATGGTAACTAGTTGAGTTCCTTTTTTATATTTTTCATGCTCTTTAATTATAAGACGTTTCAAATAGGAAAAAAAAAACCATTCCAAATTTCTGAAACCGTGAGCCCAGTTTTCTTTTCCTGGACTCAAAGAGATGGGTATTTCCACTTTGAGAATCAAAACTCCAGTGGAATTCTAAAAAAGATTTGGTACATTTCTCTCTGGAACAGAAAAACAGCAGAAACTCCTCAGTCTCCATTATGCAGGCTACCCCTGGGTAGAAAACACCTGAAGTCTTTACTATTTCTTTTCAAATTCTAGTTAAGACATCTGGTTCCAAATTGATTCTCAATGTTGAAAAATCAGGGTAGGGGAGGAGATGGGATGTAAAAATCGTGCAGACATTCTTCAATATATTTTCAGTAGTAGAAAAATTCCTTAAAAATCCTTGAGGTTTTCTCAACTCAGCTATTGTGCAGGTCCTAAACCTTCAAGTCTCCGGACAACCAATGGTGAAGTGTAGAGGGCTTGAATGTACACATGGCTTTCAAAGGGAATCCAGAATGCTCCTCCAGCATTCTTGTTTAAAGAGCAGCAACAAAAAAAGAAAATCTTAACTTAGAAAATACCTGTGACCAGACATGAGAGCAACCCCAGCCCCTCAGAAGTGGACTGGAGAAGCTCACATGCAGTGAAATGAAATGTTTATATTAATTTCATCATTCTGCCCAAGCCTCACAGATGATGGCTTGGTGGTGGGGAGATAGGGAAGAGGAAGAAATAAGTTTCATTTTGGGTCTTCTCGGCGAGCAAAAAGAAAATGAATTAAGACGAAAGCGTAGGATGAGCCCAGACTAAATCAATACACTTTGTAATCAGCCCAGCAAGGGTATTTGGACACAATGACTTGGAAATAATTAACAGTTATAAGGGGGAGTGGGGTAAGAAAGGGGGAGAGAGATGTCACCATATTTTATCGGAGCACTTTGCTCCATGCTAAACTTTGATCTCCAGATTTTCGGATTTAGGAAGGAAAGAGGGAAAAAAGCAGAAAAAAAGTCCAGTATTCCGAAGCACCTACCGGCTTGAGGATGGGCACATTCCTCCCTCTCGGCGCCTTATCGCTATGCTCGCGCCGCCCAGGCTGGCTCTTTACGGACGGAGAGCCCCCGATGCAACCCGGGGTTCTCGGGTGTCCCTTGCCCCCGCGCCCCCGCCCGCCTTCTTGCCCCGGCGCCCGCGGCCGCCTCGACTTACCCGCGGAGTCCGGAGAGGGAGTGGGAGCGCCGCCTTCACGCCCGCGGAGGAGGCGCCGGCAGCACCATGGTCCCCGGCGCCGCTGCCGCTGCCCCTTGCCCGCTCGCTCGCCGCGCGCTCTCTTCCTCTTGCAAACTTTCGGGTTCTGCGGTCGACAAGAAACCGGGGCGACCCTCAGCAAGTCTTCCCCGTGCAGGTTGGGGGGGGACTGAAGGGGACGGGACGGGTGAGAAGGCCTAGGGGCCAAGACACAGAGGGCAGCGGGCTCGGAGGACCCGCGAGTGCGCGTGGAGGGAAGAGAGGATGCGGCTCAGGGAATCCCTGCAAGGATCCCGAGACCGGGAAATCGGCCCGAGCCAAAGTCTCAGCACCTTCCCCAGAATCTTACAAAGTTGCAACAACAAAAAAGAGGGGGGAGGAACAAGGCGAAGGGGGTGGGATAGGGATACGATCGCAGGCTCAAGGTTTGGAGTTACAACTGTTTATTTAGTCCTTATTCTCATAGGGGGCGGGAGCTGCGCGGGAATGGGGGGGCGCAGACAGCGATTTCGAAGCAAACACTTGGGAAGGGGGTATGCGACTTTGTTTCTGGGCGCGCAGCTCCCCGGCGCCCGTGTGTGTCACCGCCTGTCTGCTGGGACCAAGGCGGAGCTCACAACAGGTGGGGAGGGGGGCTCGTCGAGGGCCAAAAAGGAGAAGGAATCTAAGTTTCCGAGCGCGACGCTGTCTGAGTAGGAGGGAGGCGGGGGCGAGGGGAGGCGGAGGCAGCAAATGACCGCGACCCCGCGGCAACTGGCAAACTCCTCGGCTCCCCGCGCCGCCGCCACCGCCGCGGTCCCCACCCGAAGCGCACACCGCCTCGGCTCGCTGGCTCCGAGGAGTCGTCTCTGCGGGACAGGAATAGAGCGCGGGGAGCTCGGGAGGAAGGCTGCGCGCAGGCGAGGGACGGAGAGCCATCGGCCGCCGGGACAGGGCCGAAGGAAAGCGGGGACACGCGCGCGTCGCAGGACAGATCGGGGCTTGGGAAATTCCCCTGTTCCCCAACCTTAAGAGGGGGGTAAAACCAGAAAATGTGTATGGTAGGGGGAGAGGGATTCCGGCGTGGCGACTCCTCGCAGCGCACCCTGCTCCCACGCCCACCCGCAGATCTGGCCAAGGCTGTTGCGGGAGCGTGTCGGGGAAGCTGGGGCCGTGGGGGCCGAGCGCGCGTGGGGCTGCGTGTCTGGCTGGGGGTGCGCAGGTGTGTGTTTGAGTTTTCCGGGCTCCGAAGGGGTGGCGGGAGAGCTTCCCCGCCGCTGGCTTCGGGGCAAGGCACGCGTGGCATCGGGGAAGTTCCTCAGTGCGGGGCCCAGGGCCAGGCTTCCCCAGTCGGTCCGCTGGGGCCTGCGGGGCAACCCAAGGGCACCGAAGGGGCACACACCCGCGGAGGAGGAAGGGAAAAAGTTTGCTCCAAGTCCAAACTTTGGGCCCAGAAGGTGCCCGGCGTGCGCCCCCTCCTGCCGCGGCCCGGACCCGGGGCCCCGCACCCGCCCCGCGCCCCGGCGGCCACCGGACGCCAACGCCGGGCACCGAAAGTTGCGACAGGAGGCCTCTGCTTATTGATTTCTCTCCCTCGGGCGATCGTGGAGAGCGCAGAGAGAGGCGTGAAAGGGCCTGGGGGAGGCAATTTCGCCTCCTCCCAGCCGCCGCCGCCGCCGCCGCCGCCCCCCCATTTGACTTATGCAAATAAACCCAAAGGGTGCGGGCGCCGCCGGAGCTCCCTCCACCCGCGCGCGCCGGCCCGCAGCCCCCACCCATCCCAGAGCCTGGGCCCCGACCCAGGGAAGAGAGGAAGAGAGGGGAGGGCTGGGGGAGATGCACGTGGAGCCTGGAGATGGAAAGTAGTTTTTTTTTCTTTTCTTTTTTCTTTCCTTTTTTTTTTTTTTTTTGTGCTGGTTGTTGTTGTTGTTTAAAGTGGCGGAAACAAGGCAGGAGGCGGCTTGGGAAAAAGTGGAGCAGAAATGGAAAAATACAAACTCACCCGCTGCAAATGGTCTCTCGGTGCAAACTAAGGTGTTTTCGGGCCTTTCCCCGCGCGCGCCCACTCCCGCCCGCGCGCGCACCCCGCGCACACACTCACTCGCGCACACACACTCGCGCACACGCGCGCACACACGCACTCCCGGGCGAGGGCCGGGCCGCGGCGAGTACAGCATGCAGCCGCCACACAATAAATAACAATAGATTCCTCCGCTCCGGACTAGCTTCCCGGAGCCCAGTCAGCGCCAGTGGCGGCGGCGGCGGCAGAGGCGCGGACAGCGCCGGGCCAGGGGCGCCCCCCAGCCTGGCCCGCAGACTCGTGCCAGGGTCCCCTTTCCGCCTCACGCACCTCGCAAGGCCCCCAGCGTCCCCAGAGCCCGAGCTGCGCCCCGCTTCCCTGGCCCCTGGGGCGCTGGCGCCCACCCCCTCCCCCCCATCCCGGAACAAATAAATAAATAAGGCGCGCGAGAGAGGCCAACACGTCGCGGAGGGAGATGTTGTTATTTTTCGCTGTTGTGCGTCCCTGACGTCACATCCACCTGCTGGGTAAACAACAGGGCTCGCAGGAAAAAAAATCGCAATTGCCAAAGCGGGGGAGGGGGCGTGGGTTGGGGGGAGGGGGGACCAGGGAGGAGGGAGTGAGGGGCGTCCAGGCTGGGTTGGGAGGAGAGGGAGGCAGAGCCCCGCAGACCAGAGAGAGGAAGGGAACGCCAGAGCAGTCCCTGGCAAGAGAGGGATCTGGCAGGAAAGACCTGGAAAATAAGGGGCATGGGGGCGGAGGGGGGATTCCTCAGAAGATGGGGATAGGGGGACCATTCAGACACAGAGAAGAAATGAGAGGGAGAGTGTTAACAGCTAGGGACAAGATGGGAATGCGACGGCTATTTGCTTGGTTTCTGAGCTAAAAATACAGAAGGGAGGGGAGAGGATAGGCAAGGATGTGAGTTTCCTCCAGTTAAAAGTGAAAGTGTTTTGCCATCAGTGACAGTTGAAGGAGAGGGAGGTGGGAAGTGGTGTTTTCAACCCCCTTTCTCCTCTCCCGTCCTCCCTCGGTCTCTCCTCTTTCTTTCTGCACTTTGTCCAATGAAAGAAGGCGAGTTCGGGAGGTGAAAGTTCAGCAGAAGGACAAACCCCTGTTTGCAAGGAAACAGAAACCCCGCCAGCCAGCGAGGGGTTTTTCCCCCCTGTATCGGGGAATCAGAGAGTATGTTGTGGGACGAGCTTCACTCCCCTTCCTTGCCAGAGTCACTGCAGGAATGTGCAGTTAGGTCCACTTTGGGGGAAAGTGGCTGCATCAGGAACTGTGTTCTTGCCACGGTTCCTCTAAGGAAAGCGCCCGGGGGCTAGCATGTCACTCGGTTGTTTAACACAAATTACCTGCTCTCCCACAGATCATTCATGTGCGAAAAGCTTTGTCCAATTCTTTGACAAGGTGAGATTTTTTTTTTTCTTTTTGCTGTTTTGAAGTTTGGTCGAATTTAGAACTCGAAGGACTAAATTAGGAAACTGAAATGTTTTGAAATACAGATATATAAAACAAAAGAGACTAGTATTTCTTTCGCTTTCATCAACACAAATTGACAAGGAAGCAGATTTTGTGTTTCCAAAATGTGACTTTGAAAGATATAGTACCTCTGTGGCTTTTTCTTGTTGTTAACAGAAATAATTTTTTTCAGACCCATCACCTGAGAAGCTGCCAAACTCCCAAACCAGCATTTCCAGCTACTGGCTGGATGGTGTACCCGGCCAGTTCTTTATGGAAATATATTAAAGGCCACCCCTGTGGATTCCTACAAAGTACTTCCCTTTGCGGGGAGGAGAGAGGCTTACTGTCCCTTTGGTCTTGAGACCAGCACAGTTGTAGGTAATAAATATCCTGAAAAGGTTATTATAAATTCTTTTGGATAACGTCCTTTTACATATATTGTTAAACATTCATTTACAGAAGAATTTAAATCTCAATTTCAAGGGTAGCATAAGACTACCACTTTAAAATTATATCTGCTTCACAAATTAAAAAAAAAAGTAACAAAGCCATTCGCTTATGCTACAGAGTAAAGCCAGAAAAAGGGAGACTGCTAAGGTAATTCCAGTCTGGTAGAATTCAGGTTGCATGCATGCTGCGCAAGGTTCCGTGCCATCCAGGCAAGACTATTCATTGAATCTTTTAGTCTAGACTCTACGTAAATGTATTTTAACTTGCGTAGAATGTCCTAGCTTCCGAGAGGCCAGGGTTCATGCTGTCTTTGTCAAGGCATTAATGACACACCTATTATGTTCTAGACCATATAGTGGCATTGAGGGATGCAAAAATAAAATTCCTGCCCTTGAGGAGCTCACAGTCTACAGCTGTCAATAATAACATATAACATTTATCGAATGCTTACTATGGCCTAGGCACTGATCTAAAATCTGTGTGTTAACTCAGTTAATACTGGCAACAATCCTTTGACATCACTGCAAATTCCATATGCTCAATTCACATGGAATTAAATGGACATCTACAAAGTCACCAGCCTACCAAAAAAATTGTTTTTGATTTCTAAAATATGCCAAATATAACATGTTTATAGGTATATGCCTGGCTGTAGAATTATAACTCAGGGGAATAGTGATTTATTTAAATGTGACAAATCTATCCATAGTCTGTAAAAAAAAAAAAAAATTCATTCTCTGATCTTGTTTTACAGATTAAACTGTGTTTTTTAAAAAATTGTTATTATTGCCATACTAAAAAGATCTTTAGATTGCTGCTGATCCTATTCTGCATTTTAACTGCCTTAAATTCTACATGCACTTGCAAGTGGGGGCCAAAGCTAGGTTGGCAACAAGTTTTGCAGACAAAAGGAAATCCTGGTTGCAGATCTCATGATACATTGTACTCAGTTTTGTGTATGACGCTGTCTCATGTATTGCCTTATTAAGGAACTCCGTGTCCATTTGGTTTACATTAGAGGGAAACTTAACTGCAGCTTAACATATTGTTCATTTTCAACACTGTCACGTTACATTCGTAGGGAGCAGATTTTAATTTCTTTATCAGTAATCAACTGGAAGTTTCTTTTTGTTAAATTAAAGCAAGAAGGGTTTTAAATAAAGGGCATGGGGGTAGGACGCCACCTTTTGGTGATAAAACAAATAGAAATGCCTTTTTAAAACAGATGTTCCTGACATAATTTTATTTTTAATTATACCAAGGCAAAGGTGCTTGTCCCCATTTCATTATATTTTAAGTAACAGGAAAAAAACTAATGTAAATGCAAAATTAGCAAATTATAGTTAACTGCAGCCAAAATTTCCCCAAAGGTATCAGAATATGTTAGTGCCCTGTGACATACTATTAACTATACATTAAACATGAACTTCATTTGCCAAATACGATGTCAATGAATATATGGACATTTGGGGGAAAAAACTGGAGTGGACGTTTACCACTTAATGAGATATCTGAATGCTCCTGTAAGTTTAAAGTTGAACAGAAACTAAAATCACCTCATTCAATGTTTCTTAAATGACAGTTACCACCTTCCAGATTTTTGCTATATTGTAAAACAATAATTCCTGAATAATTAATATACTATCCTCATTGGACTGCAGTTACGGTAATTGTAGTAAATATTTTCATTTAAGTCAGCCTGCTTTTTATTTTTCTTTTACTACTATAAATGGGAAATCAGTAATCTCCCTCCATAAATTAGAAACAAGCACAGTGAAAACAAAGTCACTGAATTCTTTGTTAGAGAGTGGCAAAACAAAAATAAAAATGATTTTTTTTTTTTTAAAAAAAAGGGAGAGTGGCAAGTGTTGAGAAGTGTTAATGACAGGCACATCAATGAGAATCTTTGTTTTCTCTCTTTCTTTTTTTTTTTTTTGAACAACCAGAAGAGTTGAAAGTGATGGGAAAGGAACATAGTTCTCCCTATGTGATTCGGTGATCCTAATGCCATCCTGGTGCCACGGCTCTTGCACTTTGAGAAACGTAGGAAAAACTAAGAATATTAAATCATGTATGAGAAGGCTGAGGCCGGGGAATTTAACTTGCTTTCCAAGGTCAAATAAAGTTGATTAATGGTTGGACAAGGGTTAGAATCCAGGTGTCCTGACTTTGTGTATTTCCATCTCACTCTTTCCACTTCACCAAAGTGACCAGTCCTCAGGCATTATGGGGCTTGTCAAGCCTCCCGGAAAGAGCCAACCTACATATCTCTTGGGAGAAACTGAGGCCACAGAGGGTCAAGGTCAATTCACCCTCCTACTCATCCTCTCTTCTTCCCCCAGATGAGGCACACATCCAGGTAGGGAATAAACAGAGAAAAGGGGAGGGGAGAGTTGAGAGGAGAGAAATGGATTCACAGGGAGGAGGTTAGCAAGCGTGGGCAGACCATTCTCTAAATGAAAGCTTAAACTCCTCAGTTTCCTTCCAAGAAGATAAAAATGGCTAATGAAAATCATGTGTTTCACAGTAAGTGGTAAGAGGAGCCCATCCTCTGTGTTCTGATGTCCCTATATGTCCACACCGGAAACCAGCAAGGGATCTCTTATTTTAACGTATACAATGTTAACAGGCACTCTGAGACAAAACCACATTTGATAATGGAGTGGCTTGAAAAGCTAGTCAGGGAACAGTGAACAACCCCAGCTTTAAAACTGTTTTCCCCAACAACAGAACTTAAGGGGCTCAGCATCAAATCTAGAGACAATAGTGCACTTTTTCTGATGTTCTAACCAGAGAGTGGAATCTTAGTTACCGAGATTGAATTTCCTGCTTTTTTTTTTTCTTTTCTTATAAACATAAATAAATATGGTCTGCAAATTTTGTGTTTTAGAAAAGCACAAAAATATTTGTCCTTGTGAAAAGAGGTTGTGGGTAACTCTACCGTATATACATGGGTCCCAGTGGATTGTAACCCCTATAAACTACAATGCACAATAAAGTATTTGGCCAAGTCCTACACTCCAAAAAGCTATTCTAGTCCCCTAAGCCCTGAGCATTCACAGTGCAACATGTTGGTATCTTGGAGACAGGTAAAGTGAATATGGTGGCTGGACCCCACCTGCTACAGGTTATTAGAACAATCTACAGCCTTGCTATGTAAAATGAGTTATGCTCACCTGTGATATGGGCACCAACTGAGGGTAGTTGAACATGCAGAATCCAGGCCCCA